TGTTTGGTTAAGTACCTAGAATTCAATAATTTGTTGTTTGTAGGTTTTAGATGTGTAGGAAGTCTTGTTTGAGCAAATGTTTGGTTTCTGCAGGTTAATCCTTAAGTGAGCTGCGTGAAATGGATGTACGGGTGCAAAAGTTGATTCATTGATTCAATAATTGATGAGGAAATAAGAATTATTATTATTTTTTGATTGTTTAATTGATTTGTAAAAAATGATTTGTAAATGTTGATTTGTTTAATTGATGTGTACATAATTCTTATTTGTGCTTGTTTAATTGATTGAAATGTAATAGTTGATTTGTTGATTTTCAATCTACATTATGTTGAAGGTAAAACAGACTATCGCAACACGAAACAGACTATCGCAACGAGAGAATCGCAACGCGAAAATGGCTATCGCAACGAGAAAATCGCAATGCGATTTTCATTTCGCATTGCGATTTTCTCGTTGCGATAGACATTTTCGCGTTGCGATAGTCATTTTCGCGTTGCGATTTCCCCGTTGCGATAGTCAAATGAATGTCTAATAAGTGATAACAACTGAACAGATCATAGCAATGTTCAAACTCAAGTTACTAATACATGCCTAACTGAAAAATGTTAAAAGTGCACACATAAAATACACATAATACAACGTTTGCATTTAAAAATCACCTAAGTTAACAGTCACAAAAGGTGAAGCCGGTTGTGATTGGGATTTTGAAGATGATTGCGATTTTCAGAATCTCGTTGCGAAAGTCAGAATCGCGTTGCGAAAGTTAGAATCGCGTTGCGAAAGTCAGTATCGCGTTGCGATTTTGTATTATCGCGTTGCGATAGTCAGTATCGCATTGCGATTTTGTATTATCGCGTTGCGATAGTCAGTATCGCATTGCGATTTTCCAAATTCGCATTGCGATTTACTTAGTCGCATTGCGAATTGGGAAAATCGCAACGCGAAATTGTAAAATCGCATTGCGATAGTCATAATCGCGTTGCGAATCTGGAAACTGATTTGCGATAATGGAGATCGCGTTGCGAATTAGCGATCGCATTGCGATTTTGTTGGTCATTTTTGCAAATCCGGAAAAAGTTGGTTAAAATCGTATATTATATGGGATTTTTGGTCACTGAGGTTATTTTCTCGAAAATTAATGTTTCACTTAGGGATTTCTACGAAAAGGTAATCTAATATAAGATTAAAAAAATATATTATTGGAAATGTTAATATTTTTTTAATATTTTGGTAGATTTATACTTAAAATATTATTTTTTTTTCTACCGAAAATATTAATATCGGACGCTACCTAAAATATTATTTTTTTACGAGAAATATTAATATCAAAAATATTCATTTTAGATAATAAAATTAATATTTCTTATAAAAAATAATATTTTAATTAAGACTCTATTAAAACTATTAATATTTTTAATAGTATTTTTTCTTTACCTTATATTACAATGTATTACATTAAAACTATCTGGTTCACTTGTTTAAATAACAAAAAGAAAGAATGGCAGCCATTTTGTTTGCTTCTCAAAGCTGATTTGACTGCTAAAAGCGTTCATCACGTGAAAATTCATTATTTTTTTCTTTTTCTTGTAATTTTCATGAATTAGTGTATTGTCTGAAAAAGAGTACATTTTATTTGATGATTTTTTTTTAGGAATAATGAATAATATTTAATGGTAATCCAAATTTTCCCAATCCAAAGATTATTGCTTATGAATTATAAAAAAAATCCTAATTAAAGTGATTTTTGTGTTTAAAGTTTGGAAATTCATATTGCCCACTTGCTAATATAATGTCGCGCGATTTCCCCATTTTTTAAACGGCATGGAATCTGGTAAGAAAATCGGTCGACGGCACCCCTACACGTGCTTCTTGTCTGCAACTTTATCAAGAAAAAAATATATTATAATAAAATTCACACGTCGCACATCAAAACACGCCACTAATATGACACACCGATTATTATGTACTTTAAATTTTAATATGAATATGATTAAATTATATTTTTTATTAGAAATTATAATTATTTCGATAATTTTTATTTATTTCTGATTGGAACATTTAATTTATATAAATTTACATATTTATCTTAATAATAATCATCAGAATCAACAGTCGACGATCCTATTCATCGTCAGAGATAATATTTTTCAACCTCAGTTTTAAATTCTCGTTCACCCTGTCTCTACTGATTTTTAGCTACTTTATAATCACCCCTCTTTCATCTTGTAAGCAACTTTTATAAGCAACCTCAAATTCACCTTTACCCAAAAGATTATAATTTAAAAGATATTTGTAGCCTCGGTTAATTCTTTATATATATATAATGACTTCAAATTACTTAAACCGTCGGATTCTACCATCATTCGTGGTGAATGCACAAAATCACTTCCGAAACTAGTTCCAACGGGAGGAGTTGAAGACTGTGTTTTATAGGATGAATTTATAAGCATGTAATATTGATCAAAACAAGAGCTTCAATTACATATAAACCGAGAATTATCAATAATTCATTAAGCAAATAATAAACTAATATGCAGCTATGAAAAAAATTACATAAACTTGGGAAGAGCCTAGTGGGGATGACATATTACATAACCACATGTAAGTAACACGATTTTTCGGTGATGAATAGGATCGTCGGCGGTTAGTTTGATGATTGTTGTTGGGATAAATATATAAATTTATAAAAATTAAGTGTTCTAATTTTAAACAAATAAAAAATCCTAAAATAATTATAATTTTTAATTAAAATTTAAACTAAATAATAATAAAGGTTTAAATGTGGATATGTCATTATATTTTTTAATATTTATTTAATAAGAACAATTTAGTTAGTGACGTGCATCGATGTGTCACACTAATGATGTATTTCGGTGTGCGATGTGCACTCTAGACTCATCCTATATTATATGTTGTTAATACAAAAGGTTATTTTCTACATTGATCGAATATATATTTTTTCAAGTATTTATATAGAATTTTTAGATTTATTTTTATTGAACAATTAAAGTTAAGGCATATATTATTATTTTTCTTTTTGGTATAATCATCCATTTTTTGTTTATAAGTGGACTAATTCAGATTGGGTACTATAGAGGTGATGGCGATCCTCTCAACTAGGGGTGTGCAAATCTCGGGTACCCGAAAATCGGGTACCCGGAACTTTCGGGTCGACGATTTTTCGGCCCGTGTCCCGACCTGGATGTTACGGGTACCCGGTAATCAGGTACCCGGATTTTGCGGGTACCCGATACCCGGTTTTTAATTTTTTATTTTCAAATTATTAATTTTAAAAAATATATACACAAATTTAAAAGTTCGAAACTTCGAATTACATACTCTAATATCCGAACATAAAATTTAAAAGTTCAAAATACAAAATATAATAATCCATAATATAAATAATTCATTATATTTTATATAATTATATATAAAAAATAAAAAAAATAAAAACTAACCGGGTACCCGAGTACCCGGGAAAACTAGATTTTGTGACCCGGGCCCGACCCGGCCGGGTAATTTTTTTTAAAGAATTACCCGGTTTTTTTTAGATCCGGGTCGGCGGGTCGGGTCAACCGGGTTGGGTAATTTTGCACACCCCTACTCTCAACATAATTTGCTCTATTCACAAACGCAAGAATTCGAGCCTCTGATCTTTGTTTAAGAGATCTAATGTCTCATCCCACTAGACCAACTAATTGTTGGTAGACATATGTCATTGTTGTTGTCGATTTGATTTTTGTTAACAAGTATTTAAGATATGCATATATGTATATATATTTTAGAATAAAAACGGTTAATTTTATTAAGAAATAAAAAAAAACATAGAATTACAAAGGGTGTTTATGACTATATTTATAAACTAAACATATAATTAGGATATTCTCTTATAATCAGTAACACAAGAAACATATAAAGACCATACAAAGAAAAGATGAAAAACAATCCAAAAAAATCGAACAATAGGTAGATACGAACATATCTGACTTGTACGACAAACGTACCATAACATGAAATTTAACTATAGAAAGATCATCGAAAAACGTAAACAAGAGTCAAACATCATGAAAAAACTATCTACGAACGCATGTTGCGTATCCAAATCCAAATCGAGAATCCAAAATAGAGAAGATCATGAGATAACAAGTGAGCTCCATCTTAATCAGTCTCGACGATGTCAAATTCAACATTAAGAAAAATAAATGACAAGGATAATCAAATGACCGAAAAAACTAAAAAACGTGCTAAAATATAGGGAAAATGTGACCTAAAAGCATATAAATTTATGTCATAAAGTTATTAAAAAAATATGTAAGATAAAAAATCTAAAAAAAATATCGACGACGACAATCAACAATAAAATTAATATCGCCGCCTAGTGATAAAAAAGTAAAGAACAAATAATTAATTAAAGAAAAGAAAAGGAGAGACTAGGATTTAGAAGGAATGTACTAGGTCTTCCACGAAAGTTGCTTTTAACCTGGCGTTGGGGACAACCTACTACCTTACCTCCCCTCATCCCATTACATATGAGAATAGGGTCAGCTATTTTTTCTTTTCAAAGATTGAGACTTTAATCTTTTTATCAAAATTCTTTATGAATTTTTTTGAAAAATGTGACCCTCTTATTTATCACTTCATCCTTGTTATAAATAACAAATTCATGTGTTTACTTTAAATTTCAAAAATTTTTCATATAATTATTTATTTTATTAATTATGTATACTCTAAAATTTTATTTATGTCCATTCTGAATAAACATTATATATATATATATATATATATATATATATTCAACCTAAAATTTTTTTTAATCCATCCTTACTCTTAAACATGTATATGTTCTGTAAGCATATGAAACTAAAACCTAAAGAATAATGACATTAAAAAAGAGTATCTTGAAACTAAAACATTATATATGTTCTGTAAGTATCTATAAACATAAAATACAATCCTCAATAATTAAAAAAAAAAACAATTGCTTGTTTATAGTTTTATAGTTAATTAGGATAGAGTAGCTTGGTAAAAAGAAGCTCATTCCAAGTATCTTGAAGTCCAGGCAAACACCAATGAACACAATCGGCATAGCTAACCGGGTTAGCCAACTGCTCGGGCGTCAATGGACTCCATTGCTTCTTGTAAATCGAGGTGTGTGCATCTTTGCGATAGCTCGAGAGCTGAGTGATGTTGAGGAACGTGATTGGATACTTTGATTTGCTGAATTCTTGGGCAATCACCTGCATTATGTCCCTGTTTTCGGATCCCCAGTAATTCGGATCTTCAATCAAACTTGTTTCATTGTAACAGTTCCCACCAGGTTGGCCTCCCCATTCCTGACTCCTATGAATATGTAAACATGTTTTCAATTTCGGGTTAATTGGTTCGTCGATCATCAGTGTCATTATAAAGATATTTGTATTTGTAAATATCCACAATATTAAAATTAACCCCAACGTTTAAAATGAGTTTACCCTACAAATATTGCAGCATTGGAGATAGAGATGTGTTAAACTCACTTGATATGCAAAGGAGACATGCTAGTGAAGAACACCCTCGTCTTGTTTGGATCCATGCTTTTTCTCACCCATTTCAACATGCTTTTCATCGCCACTCGATAGGCTTCCTCTGTAGTAAATTCTTCGATCTCTTTCTTTTCGTCTTTGAATGATCCTTTCCTGTCAATACATCATTTATTTTTTTAATATAAATCAACATTTATTAACAAATTTGTAGCATTCAATTAGTCAAGACAGTACAAGAATTTCATCTTTTGGCCTGTCATCCACCATAGATATGTGTTGAATACCAACACATCCACGCCTTTCCAATTCCTCCCATGCTTGTTGATCGACCCTTTCTTCACCATTCTATCGGCTACTCGGTGAACGATTGCGTTATCCGAGTTCGACTGGAGAAGGAACGGTGCCCAATTAAATTCAATTGTCGCATTATAATCCTGAAAAAATATCATAAATCCGATCATCAAACAAACAAGTAATTATTGACATTAGATTATGAGATCGATCTTCGAATAACCTATTTCTCTCCATTTAATGAAAGCGGAAAAAGACACTATAGATCATTCCGATACTTACAAACGATATAAAAGAAGCATTCAATATACGATAATACCTTAGCTCTGAAGACAGTTAATGATTGATCCATGGTAGATTCCATGGATTTTGCATTTGAAGGGAGAATCCTATGGAGAAGGCAAACCATCGAGACAAACTGACCCCGGTTCAACGAGTCTCCGACAAACATCATCCTCTTCCCCCTCAACGACTCTAGCATCAATGTCGCATTAAACCTTGTAACAAACATCGATCAACATTTATAAAATTAAGACATGTCTATAGATATATAAAAATAAAATAAAACTAACTAATTGAGACCGGGATATATAGTTTTCAATCAAATTATATTAGTTGGTTAAAAAAATTAATTATGAATTAATAGAAAACATAAGAGTAAACTTGTAGCTGTGGGGAAAAAATCATTTAAATCTTGATTGCACCATGGCTAAAATCTTCAACTATTTTGACTTTAACCGGTAGCTAGTAAGAACCAAACTAATATACTAACCATTTTTCTATTAGGCTTAGTTGAACCAACCATCAATGAAAAACCCAGCAATTCATAAATATAGGACAAAATTAGGAAAAATGGATCTTGAAAAAAAAAATTAGAGATGACCACAGATTAATTAAGAAAATTTTAGTGTAGGTGAAAAAATTCATTAACTGAAACTGACTTTGATAAAATTTTCAGTAGTTGTTGATGACTTTGCTCAATTTTTTTTTTCTTTTTCTTTTTATATTTTTAGGACTAAATTGAAAGAAAATTAAAAATATAAAAATAAAAAAATTATAAAAAATAATTATACAGTAAAATGAAACTGTGAGTTCAAGAAAGGCATCTAAAATGATTGCTATAAATTTAATTCACTTAAAGTGATTTTTGAAAAAAATCTATTTTACTCCTTCCACTTTCACTTATTTATGATTTAGTTTTAAAATACAAAAGAATTAGAGCAAAATCGTCGACAAATTTGTCAAAGTGATCCTCATCTATGAGCAACTTTATTATAATTCTTTTGTAACTTTAAAACTAAATCGAAAGAAAATTAAAAGTGTAAAGATTAAAATAAAATTTTATAAAATTAATATAATAAAATAAAACAGTGTGTTTAAGGAAGAAGCCTTAAAGTTTAATTCATTTAAAGTTGATTTCTGAATATTTTTATTTTAATCCCTCTATTTTCGGGGTTTTTTTTACAATTTAATCATAAATGCAGAAAAATAGAATAAAATTATCGATAACTGCTCATAATTTTCCAAAATCAATAAATAGCAATTATTATAGAAATCATCTTAATTTCCTAACTAAATATTTATAATTTTTATTTTCTTAATTTTGTTTTTGAACATCAATAATCGCTCCCTGATTTGACCCATAACAAGAAGAGAAGAGCCCAGATCAAAGTGGGCCCCGAGTACACCAGATACGTGGACTAATTGCAACTTATATAGTGGTTACCACGTCCTAATAATCTACTTTTATACTTAATTAAAACAAACCACTTACTTGCAACCCACCACGAAGCCAGGAGTATTATATTACAAAATATGGTAGGTTAAAGGTAAGAATATTCTTAGAAATTTTAAATTTATATATTAATCAGGTATTCTTTTATATTTTCTTATTAATAATTTTATTTTATATTTTTTAAAATTTTATAATTTCAGAATGACATAGAATATTAAATTCGTCCTTAGTTAAGGAAATATATGTATATGAATATATTAGTTAAAGAAATATATGTATATGAATATATGAATATGAACATTATTAGATAAACCTGGTTAGACTATATTAGGGTTTAAATGTAGAATATTTTAAACGCGGTAGTTGGCTAACATTTGAAGGTCCGAAAGCAAGACAGCAACATGAATTCATTTAGGTTTTTTCATTTGTGTTTTGTTTTTCTTCACGATGATTATAAACGGAATAGGGGTTTGATCTACTGGAATTACCTGGGTATATTACATCCATGGGGTTGCCATCTCCATTTCTGATACTCTTTATCTGGTCTACCGTGTTCCTGGCACGTCAACTGTGGTTGAATGTACGGACACTCCGATTCTTCATAATGAGGCCGACTTAACTCGTCCCTAACCCACCTCCCACTGAATATATCACACCCTTCTTCGGTTTCCCCTATCGCAAATGGCGGTTTCCACGTCGTTTTGGTTGTGATTTTCGGTGGAACAGATGTGCCTTCTTCGTTCGAGACCGATTTATTACGAAATTCATGATTGTTTCTTTCAATAATATCGTCGACCGTCTCTTTTTCCTTCCCTATAACCATAAACTCAACCAAGAAAACAACGTTACATATATGAAAAATGAAGAAAACAATGGCTGAGTTAAAGAGCTGAGTCACCTCACCTGTTGTTTCAGAGATGGGATTGGATAAAACGAGTTCGTTTCGACCAAAAATGGAGAGCAAGTCTTCACAATAAAGAATGAAAACGAAGACGATGAAAGTTAACAAGGTGTAAAAGTAGGGAGAAAGACGTTGCTTTCTGAGAAGTAAAGAGGTTGATGAAGGTGGCAATGGAGGCTTCATCTTTCTCTTTTATTTTTTATTTTTGGCAACTAGAAAACGAAGGGTTTTAGAATGGGAGAGATCATTGAATTGAAACCATCTGCAATGAAGAAAATATATAAACTTTCTATGGCGGTTGAAATTTTCCAATGTTTTTTTATTTGATGAATTACTATAAAAAGATCCTCTGCCACTTTTTTTTATTATTTATAAAATGATGTGAGAATAAATTGTGGAATAAATTATCAATTGTAATATAGATGAATATATATGTACACTAATACTTAACCACGTTATGATTGGATATTTTACTTTTAAAAATTATAAAATTACCCTATAACGTTCTTCAGTATTTTTCTGTAAATTCCCTGTAATTTCTCAATTATGAAATATATTCTTTCAAATTTCAATGGTGGAGAGTTGGAGAAGAAGGAAGTGAGTTATATATTGATTTCATATTGATCAGATTGTGGATATTATAAATTAGAATAGTTTGGGTTAATTTTTATGAGTTTTGGATTTAGGGATGAGTTTTATGAATTTTAAAATGTTTTAGGTAAAATCTAAATTGATAGAGTGGTAGGAGATAATGGGGTGAGTTCGTCGATATCTTGAGAGGTTGGGGAACACATCAGGCAGGGGCGGAGCTCTGTTGGAGCCCGAAGGAGTCCTGGTCCCGATTAAAAATATAGTATATTCGATACAGTTTTGGTCCAATAGTATTTTGATTCATGTAAAAATAAATATTTAAATTAAAAAATATATAATTTAGTAAATATTTAATCAAGTAGGGATCGTATTAAAGAATGATAACCTCATGTTCTCAATTTTTTGGTTTAGTAACAATTTAAGTCATTGTCAGTTTAAATATTAAAAAAATTAGTTGTTGTCTTGTGAATTTTGAGTTTTTATTAGATATAAATATGGGGTGAATACAATGTACTATATGTACGAAGACTCTCAACCATTTGACAACGTACGCTCATACCCTTACATATGTAATGCTCAAACTCAGGACCTCAAGGATAACAATATCCCTTAATCACTAAGATTGCTTGGTTCATGCTGAATTTTGAATATGAATACCTAATAAGTCATTTTATTTTTCTTAAATAGTATAATATTCTGACCTCTGTCAATAGTTAATCCTGGCTTCGTCGCTGACATCAAAGAATGATAATTGCAGCGCCAATGTGACACAAACATGAAATTATAAAACTTTCATCTTTAGAAGAATTAGATAAAATAAAAAGAAAAATGGCGTGGTTGAGACATGGATTTCATATCAATAAAAAAATGGTCCTTATCAGCACATGTAGTAGTCATGTCACACTTCTATATATGTTTTAACACTCGAGTGACCAATTATAGGAGTAAATCAAACGTTTAATGATTAAACTGAATTATTTAAAATTTTGATAGCTAAAATAAGAGTGAGAATAAAGTTGAGTGATGTAATTTATAATTTACCTTATTTATAAGAGTAAAATGATACCTACTTAAAGTATTAAAATATATATTTTTGAGGCTACAATTATATATATATATATATATATATATTTGAATCACTGTATTAGGGTAATAACCAAAGTATATCAACTATCAAGACTGTATCTACTCATGCTAGAACTTAAATAAGAAATCTTTAAAATTCCCATACTCTTAATTAGGAGTGATTATAACTCAATTCAATTCGGAAAAAAATAAATATAAATATTATTATATTGAGTTAATCAAGTTATTCGATTTTTTTAAATGAACTCAAAAAAATTGGATTGTTTGAGTTTTAATCGTGTTGAATTTTTACGATTTGAGTATCATAAAAATTGATTAACAAATGGGTGTAAATACCCCTAGGATCCTTGTCTAGTTTGAAAATGAGTAAATTAACCTATCACAACAAAAATATAAAATAATATTTAATTTCAAAAAATAAAATATTTCCATAAATTTATAAAATAATTATAAAAATATAATTTATTTTAATAATTTTATATAAAATATACAATGTCCATATAAGTTCATAAAAGTGTTTTTAAAAATATAAAATATTAAATCATTTAATAATTAGTTCTTGGGTTAATTGAAGTTTATTAAATCTAATATTAAACAAATAAACTATCAAACCTAGTTTATCATACGTAATTATTTTTTCCCTTATTTTTCTTTGATTTATGTGCTTTAACTTAAAATTTGGTTAGATTGTAATACAATTTTAATTTTACCTATTTCAAATAATAATTCAACTCAAAAAACATATAAATGATTTGACTTAACTCAAATTTTATAAATTCAACTAAAAACAATTTTAAATAATTTTTAAGTAATAAAATACGATTCATCAATTCAACGAACTAATTTTATTTTTCACTTAATCCAACTAGATTATATACTCACCTTAAAATCTTAACCTTATCCGTAAGTTAAGAACTCATTGATATTAAATTTTATTTATTGTAAGTTAAAAGTGCGTAAATAGAGATGATTGTGGGAAATAAATATGTAAAATGCTCAAGCTGGACATAATTAATTATTTAAAAATTAATTAAATAATTAACTGAAAGATGGTTATATGTATTATTGGCCCATTAGGAGACAAAACAGGTCTATTATCTTATTTTTATTAGGAAAATTATTAATTTCCATCCAAGCTGTTCCCAATCGGATATAAGTGATCAACAAGATTCCAATTGTGACGGATTAACTAAACGTTTTGATAATATTATTTTATTATTATGTACCTAATCTAATTATTTATTGTTAGTTGTCTACGGAATTTAATTATTTTCTTAGATCATTAGTTCTTTTTTAATTTCTTTAAGAAACTATATTATACATCATTGTCTATAAAGTTTTTTTAATAAAAAAATATCAAAAATTTTAGGAATGAGTAGTTAGGTCGTTCTTTATTTTATTTAAAAATATTAGTCTTCAGCACTATGATTTGAAATTAAAGAATATGATTAGATAAATTTAAATATAAGTGTTGTTTGCTCTTATTTGATCATAAAGTTAATGAATTATCCAAAATAGTCATTTTGATCTCTATTTCTTTTTTCTTAAAGTATTTTAACCTCTAACTTTTTATTTTTCGTGCAAAAAATCCCATTTATAGTTGGAAACCGTTACTTAACATATGATTAATACCTCAAAATAAGAGTCTTTTTACCCTAAAATGAAATGTTGAGAATCAAAATGATCTAAAAAAAAAGAATAAGAGTTAAAATAACTATTATGTCAAATGTTATGAGTCTTTTTGCCTTCAAATAACACTTTGGGACTAAAATGCAAAAAAAAAAAAGGTACTCAAATAACCATTTCAGTAAACGTTAAAGATTAATTTTGATATTATGTATAACAAATAATTCTATTGTTAAACCCACAGTGAATACTTGATCGCTCCTCAATGACCCAATAGCCAACAGCCCGGTCAGCCCAACGCAAAGGATATACAGGCTAGTATGTAAGGAGTGCAACAATTCAGATTCAGCCCATTAAACGTAACATCTCTCCCACGTGTATTTAGCCGCGTTGCTCTCTCATGTTTGAAATATATAATAAGAATTTCGGAGACAAAATAAACTTGACTCAACTAGTGATTCTCCGTTCGTATAAAAAAAGGTAAACCAGCCATATTGTTTTTCCCTATCTAAACCACTATAAAATCACCACCACCCATGTCGTTCATCAAAATTTGGTGCTACGAACACAAAACAACCTCTACTTAAAAGAATCAATCAAAATACAAAAATTCAAATATGTAATGTCGCTCTTAGATTTCAAGCAAAATTAATTAACACAAGGGAACGAAAACTTATTTTTTAACTTAATGGAACGCAAATTAGGAAACTAAAAAAAGATGTCAACCGAACAAAACAATAATCAATAAAAAAAACACACGATAATAGAATAAAATTACTCGAATAATTAAAATTAGAATATATGAAAGTTAAAATCTTAAAATTAATAATTTTCCGTTCAAATGAGAAAAATGAACATTTCAAAATTTTCATAAAACATAATAGATCACGTGGCGATGAAATATTAAAAATTCAGGAACTTGATTGATGACAAACTTTTGATATATAGATATATTTGAATAATTAATTTAAAATATTAAAATTTGCATCAATCAATACGGACTAGTATACATTGATATAAACCGAAATATATGGATGCACATCGAAACACATACGAAATCTATGAACTCGCTTTAATTACTACCTAAACATATGAGATGGATTGCAATGGAACAAAAAGGACGAGTGATGAAACGCAGAGAAAGCAAATGGAGTTGGGAGATAATTTGGAATTATTTTAATTACGTGACCGATCGAGTAGCCACAAGGGACGACAATTGGCACACCCACAATTCATAATTCATAATTCATAATTAACCTGTCCTTGGAGCTTTGCAAACAGCTTCTTTTGGGGTTCAACTTCAGCAAAATGACTGTCTTTTAAACTAATCATCAATTCCCCCCCCCCCTGGAATCCTAGATGAAAATGCTTCAGATCTCACTAACTCGTAGGATTCAAGCCTTAACCGTGCTTGTGTTTTGAGTGAGTTGTCTAGATTTATCGAAAGAGTTCCTCGACGCTCACAACGCCGCTCGAAAAGACGTCGGTCAACTGGGACAATGTGTTGGAAGACTTGGCACTGAACTACTCTCAAGGACAGATCAACAATTGCATTGAACTAAACCTTGCTGTGGTCCCTTTGGGTCGGAATCTTGTTTGGGACAACAAAAACGGTCTTTCCACAACCGAAGCTGTCTGGCTTTGGGTGGCTCAGAAGAAGTATTACAGCTTGGAATCTGGTGTTTGTGCTCGAGACCTGATATGCAGACATTATACTCAGGTAATTTGGATCAATTCGACTCCACTCGGATGTGCTAAAGTTAGATGCAATAACAATAGTGGAATTTTGATTGCTTGTTACTATTACCCTGCTGGTAATATTCCTGGAAAGCATCCAACTGATGGAATTCGATCCCTCATTCAATCACATGATGTTGCTCCCATGAGTCCCACCAATTCGTCACCTTTAACTCAGGTAATTTGGGTTCATTCAACTCCCCAAAAAGGTAAATCCATGGAAGCATTAGTCATAGGATTGAGTATAGGATTGGCTTTTGGGCTAGTTCTAATGATCACTTGCTTCATTTCAAGACAAAGAAGGCAGAGAGAAAAGGAATCTGATGATGATCGCCGTGTTTTCAATACGTTGTTTAACAATGAGTTCGGCAATCTGATAGGACCAAGGAAGTTTTCATTGAATGAATTGACTAAAGCAAAAAATAATTTCAACACTGAGAATAAGTTGGGTGAGGGAGGGTTTGGTTTTGTCTATAGAGGATTCCTGAGGGACTTGGATACTTGCATTGCTGTTAAAAAGGTGTCCAAGGCATCGAAACAAGGGATCTGGGAATACGCGTCGGAAGTGAAGATAATCAGTAGATTGAGGCACAAGAATCTGGTGAAACTAATCGGTTGGTGCCATGACAGGGGTGAACTCTTGCTCGTTTACGAGTTCATGCCGAGTGGAAACTTAGACACTCATCTTTTCAAAAGCAAAAGCTTATTGACATGGGAAACCAGATTCAAAATCATGCAAGACTTGGCATCAGCATGCTATACCTGCATGAAGAAGGAGATTACTGTGTACTCCATAGGGACATTAAAACCAACAACATCATGTTGGATTCTAGCTTCAATGTCAAACTCGGAGATATTTGATTAGCTCGTCTAGTCAATCATTCCGAAGTGTTAAAAAACACTCTTTTAGCCGGCACCGTGGGGTACATCGCTCCGGAGTGCTTGTCATCGGGAAAAGCTAGCAAGGTTTGGAGTGGTGGCATTAGAGATTGCTTGTGGTAGAAGGTCAGTTGAACCCAAATTTCAAGACTTTGAGGCTGTATTAGTGCCTTGGGTGTTGGAATCATATGGAAAAGGAAAGGTTCTGGATGTGGCTGACAACAAAATGGGAATGGGGTTCGACCCTAAACAGATGGAATGTTTGGTGATGGTTGGGCTGTGGTGTGCCCATCCGAGCCAGGATCAAAGACCATCGATCAGGCAAGTCATTCAAGCCCTTCATTTTGAGGCACCACTGTCGTATCTTCCGACCACAATGCCTGTTCTCGGTTATAAAGCACTTACTGCTTCACGAATTGGATCGAGCGAGCCAGTACTTGAATCTAACATCACTCTCACAATTCCTCGATGAAGCGCATCGTTTCCCTTGCATTGTTATGCTTATGTATTTGGACCATTTATGATTCTCGTCGCATTAAGTTTGGATCATTTTATTTTATTTGTTAGAATCATTTTAATTGTAAATTAATTTTAACTTCAAATCGATTCAAGTTTGAATTGTATAAGTTAAATTTATGATTCTTATTATATTAAATTTAGATTATTTTTATAATTTCTTAGTTGAATTAACACCCGATTAATTCTGACATTAACTCATAAGGAGCATTAATAAAAATAGTAATTTTTTTATTTAAATAGTATATAGTTAAGGGTTATTTAATTTGCAACTTATTGTAGGGTTAAAGTTTGTGTACTTATAAATAGACAAACAATCTTTCTAGTCATTAAACTTTAGTTTGAATATTAATTTTGTTACAAATTTTAGAAAGTTTCAATTTTAACTCTAAATTTTGGATATTGGTTTTTTTATTATTGGATCGTCAAATTATTAATAGATAGATGTCATGGTAGGTTAGGGTTGACGTGGAAGCTAAAAAATATTTTTTTTATTCTCATCATATTCATTTTCAACCGCCACCAAAAATTATCATTCTCAAATATCATTTAGGACCACCTTACACATTCATAGACTCATCTCATCATTTCTTACTAATTTATCGTTTTAATTTTTTATCAATGTCTCTTTAAATTCATGAAATTAAACATAAAATATTTTTTGAGGTTTGAGGGTTTTTCCATATTGAGAGATTTGTTTGAAATTTAAATGGTGAGAAACATAAATCCGAGATCAATACAAGGTAGTATATATTCAAAGACTTTCAACCCTTTGAAAATGAACGCTCATACCCGTGACATACACGATATTCGAAATCGAACCTCAAGGGTGTCACGCGTCGTTTTCGTGTCAAAATAATTCCTTAATCCCAAAAGAATTAAGAAGAAAATATAGCAATTGGAAAGTAAAGGGTCGATCCCACATAGACTATGTAGTTTCTGATTTAATTATCTTTTTGTTTTTGAACAATAGAGTTCGGATATGGATGAAATTCAAGATTAAAAATAAAAAAAATAAAAAAAATAAAGGTGATATAAAAATAAGATAAAATAGGGGGATTTTGAAAGACTGTTTGAAAAATAAGATAAAGACAAATAATATAAAAAATAATAAATAGAATAAAATAGTAATTTGAGTTTGAAAAGAACACTTATTATGAAAAGTAGCCTCAGGCTTTTAGCTTTGACTAAGTTTCTTCGGATCATCAAAATAGATCTTTACTTCAGGATTTATGTTGGTTACTTGTCTACAAGGATAAATCCTTGTGACTATGCTTTGTATACCGAATACCCAAGTGCAATCTTTAATATCGGTTTTTGAATTGATCTAAGCAACAACAATGTTGTAGATCTAAAAACGTTGAGGCTCGAAAAGATGTCGACTCGGATTATGTTGTTTCAAAAATAATTGATTTCAATCTCTGTTTCCCTTTAGCAAACAATTTTACTAAGTTTGTTCCCAAGAAGTCGAATGTGCTTCAATAAGTCGATCATTCCTCCCACGTTAACCATAACAATATCCAGACCAACATCAAATTTTGGTTTTTGAAAATTATTTTGATTTGAAAATAAGCCCAAAAAATAGAGAGATAGATCTGAAGCGATCTTTTTGTTTTTGAACAATAGAGTTCGGATATGGATGAAATTCAAGATTAAAAATATAAAATATAAAAAATAAAGGTGATATAAAAATAAGATAAAATAGGGAGATTTTGAAAGACTGTTTGAAAATAAGATAAAGACAAATAATATAAAAAATAATAAATAGAATAAAATAGTAATTTGAGTTTGAAAAGAAGACTTATTGTGAAAAGTAGCCTCAGGCTTTCAGCTTTGACTCAGTTTTTTCGGATCATCGAAATAGATCTTTACTTCAGGATTTATGTTGGTTACTTGTCTACAAGGATAAATCATTGTGATTGTGCTTTGTATACCGAATATCCAAGTGCAATCTTTAATATCGGTTTTTGAATTGATCTAAGCAACAACAATGTTGTAGATCTAAAAACGTTGAGGCTCGAAAAGATGTCGACTCGGATTATGTTGTTTCAACAATAATTGATTTCAATCTTTGTTTCCTTTTAGCAAACAATTTTACTAAGTTTGTTCCCAAGAAGTCGAATGTACTTCAATAAGTCGATCATTCCTCTCACGTTAACCATAACAATATCCAGACCAACATCGAATTTTGGTTTTGAAAATTATTTTGATTTGAAAATAAGCCCATAAAACAGAGAGATAGATCCGAAGCGATTTAAGTGCCTTGCAATTCTCACGTTTGGAATTGAGTCATCACTTTAGCCTTCAGCTTAAAAGAAAGTTAGCTAAGCATGAAAAAAGTCATACTTGGCATTTTTGAAAATAAAACTTTAAAAAAAAAAACTTGAAAAGAAAAGAAAAGAGAAAATTTTATAAAACTAGAGAGAATAAGAAGAGTAAATTCTCAGTTGTTGAGATATATATTTTTAAGTTTACCCTGAGAGGATATTTATAGCCTTCAAATTTCTAAAAATAAGGTAAAAATATTTCATAAAATAAGGAAATAAATTCTAATAAAAATACTTAAAACTATTTAAACTAAAACATCTAAAATAAAGATAAGATAAAATATAATATAATATTTAAAATAATATCCTAAAACATGAGTTTAATTTAAATCTGAATTACAGAAACGTGGGGTTGATCCATTCATTCTTCTAGAAGCTCTGACTGGACCTTCTAAAAGGTGTTGATGTCATCGCCACATCAGATGCGTCATGCCCAAAGTCATGCTCATTAACCCAGCTTTGATTCCGAAAAAAAAACTGCAGAATTATATCATTTTAATGAAATTTCCAGAATTTAGTATCTTGCACAGAAAATGAATCAAAACGAATAAATAAGCCACAAAAACCAACGATTAAGGAACAATTTAAAAATAAAATATTAATCAAATAAAGCACTTATCTAAGGGATAACAACAAATCTCGTAACCACTGATGTCGCTTGGTTTGTGTAAAAAAATGGTGAGAAACATTCTTTTGAGATGACAAACAATGTATTTTAAGATTTTTTTTTTCATATTTGAGGGTTTTTTCTAGATTTGAGGAGTTTGTTTGAAATGAGACAATTATAAGAAGAGATTGGAAACTTATAGATAATTTTTTATTGATTTTAAATGAGTTTTTATAAAAAATTAATATGAGAAAGAGAGATAAATTTGAAAATGAAAACCACATTTGCTTGGAAGTATTAACCTCGAGCACTCCCCACCCACAACAGAGAGAAACAAAATTTAGTTCTTTCTTTCTTTCTCCCCTACTATCCTATCCTTGTCCCCTTAAAGTTGCAAAGTAAGTATCTTTGTCTTCATATGTCTTTACAATTTAGGGTTTCTTTTTTAATTTTCTATTTTTGCTTTTCTTTCTTTCTTTACCTATGAATGGAGGATAGAAGCTTCATGGACACATGCATGTAGCCAAATTCAATCCATTTTACACCTAAACCCCGCATTTTATATCAATTAGGCTGTCATTTTCAACGATTAATTTCTTGTTTTTTATGCAACGAATCTTTTCTAATAATAATACAAAAATGATTACATTGATCAAGTTGCTAGATAGTATTAAGGAATTGACATTGTTATTTTATAGTAAAATTCCAAATTTTTATATTTAATTTTTATCCAAAATTATCTTATAGTAAGATTAAATTAATAAATAAAAGTTTTTAAATATTGTAAAATTCATAAAATAAAATTTGGAAAAGGTTGATTTAATTAATTAGGATAATGCTTTCCATCGTAAGCAAAGCAAAGCGAGAAATATGAGGCTTGGATTTTTGCTTAATTATTTCATATATTTAAGGTGAAAACTAATTCGATTTGATTAGATTTTAAAGATTCTTTGAACTATCCATGATAATTTGATTTTCGATTTTGTATATTGATTTTTAGACTTTATTTTGATAATTTGTATTTTTTATGATTGTTTATATTATTTGGTGTAGTTTTAAAGTGTTTTTCCCCATAAATGCTTTTTTAAATATCTTTCAAGTAAATGAAAATGATTAATGATTTTTATATAATTTTTAAGTTATTTTTACTATTTAAAATATAAAATACGAATTTATTTTATAATTATAAATTAAATAAAAACAAAATTCTAATCACAATTTTTAAGCTTACGAACTGTCATGGGAGAAACAAGGATTGAATTATAGGAGGAGCCAAGTTGTTTATCTTTTACAATTAATAGGGTTCTAAAAGGTAATTAAACAATAAAAATAGAGTTGAGTTGTAGGATCCTAGCAGTTTTAAACTTAATAAATTTAAGTCTTGATCTTTAATTTTTTGGTTTAATTATCTTTTTCTCATTGATAGATGAATATGTGGATTATTTTAGTACTTAAATCTGCCACATATGATTTATAATTCAATAAAACAAAATAAAAATTAATATATATTTATTTAAGATTCATTAGGGTCAAAATCCATAACTTTAAAAGTTTATTGTGAAAGGCGATTTCTCGCAGCTGCTATATCCCCTCTCCCTCTCCTAAGTACGTTCCACACAAATCCAGAAAATGACAATCCACTTCAAGAACAGAAAAAAAGTGACCATGTGAGCGTCAGTCACGATCATCACTAGCAAGCCCACTATGCTCGTTTTGGTTTCCTCCCTAAATCAATTTCACAAACCCAACCCTAAACCCCTCAATTCGTGTTCGAATTTTGTTAAGAAATTTTTTAAAGAATTTTGAGAAGTTTTTTTGACTTCTTGTTCAGTCGTTCCAAGTAAAACAGGATAATATCTCAAAACTCCTATTTTTTAAAATTATTTCCTTTTTTTTATGATTCGGAATTTAACAATTAAAAAAATTGTTTAGTCGAGCCATGTCATAACGCGAAAGTTAAAGGTGGAGTGAGAAAAAATCCATTGTACAAAGATCAGTGATTAAATTAAAAAATATATAATG